TTTATTCCTTATATTTATCATCAATAAACATATTATTATACCTCTGAATCAATTGCTATTTTCCCTTTAGTCTTGTCAAAAGTATACTGTCATGTAAATTATATAAACTTGAGTTAAACTGAGATTAAATTGCTACATAAACTTAAAAGAATCACCACTCGAACACCCCGTCTAACTGTCGTAATTCGTAAGGATTGCACGTTAACAGTACTACCCATTGGTCTGAGGGTTTTGTACATTTGTAAATGTATCGATAGAAGTTTTAATCAATATGTATCATATTAGAGAATTGTCTCAAAAATTCCTTTTTGCATTTCTCTCCTGGAGAGCGGGTCCATTGCATTTGAAAGGGTTGCATCGATGAATTTGGTATGCTAAGACTTCTTCTTAGAGTTTTAGTTCATGTATAAGATCTGGTAAGTTAGAACTTATAACGTTATCCTGAATCATGCCTTCAATTGATTTTGTGGTCCAGTAGCAGCCATGTGTATGAGCGGTCCTTTATTTTGGAATTCTATTCGATCAAAGAAATCTGTTATTATGCCTTATCTGCTTACTTCCTTATTTTTTCACATTTTTTTTAGCGATCTGAACCAGTTAATGAAGTGAAGGGTATTATGTAGTGGCCTGTTAGTCAGAATAGTATCGCTATTGTCGATTTGTCTTAGTATATTATAAAATTCTGACTATCTACTTTCTATCATCAATAGTGTAATAAATATTGTTAGGAGTCTGAGATTTTATAACATTAAGTTGAGGTGTAATTCCTTTTCGTGAAAATAGGAGTCACTTGTATTAATGAATGTAGGAATTAGGATGGTCAGGTCTTCGTTTATATGTTTTTTATTTGAATAATTGCTTTGTTAGATTAGTTAGATTAGTGTGAGAATTTGATGTGATTCGTCAGTATTTCTTTACCATAGTATACGCTGAGTGTTCTGGTGATAGTATAGCTTCTCTAATTATAGGTATGTGTAGGATAGCCAATAGTGATCTATTCTAAATCTATGATTGTTGAGTAGTATCATATGCTTGGCATATTTTTCTAAGATCTCTAATCTGTCTTCGTTTGATTGAGAATGGTCTCTTATATCGTAAAAGTGACCTTTGCCATCAGGGAATAAGTGTGGAAATAGGAGAGGCTTAAGGTTTTGATCGTAGATTGAAATGGGTAAGGAGTTATCATTGTCATCACGAACGAATCTGGCCATTAGATGCGAATAGTGAAAGTCTTCGTCATAGACTTCATTGGGTAGATTTATAGTTAGTATAATTATGTCACGTTGATTTGCGAGTGATGCAGAATTATTATTTGGGATGTGTTTAGCAGTTGAGAATAGTTCTGTTATATTTGTATCAAATTTTTAGTTTAGAATGGTTGTGTAATTGCGTTGTTTAAACTTAACCAGAAGGCAACTTGTAAGAATTGTTATCAAAAATCTCTTCATTTGAGACATAATTTGGGTTGAGTGGTTATAAATAGATTTCTATTGTGCCAGAGTATAGTGCTAGTGCCCTAAAGTTTATTGAGTATCTCATAGTTCCTATGAAGCAACGATACTCTGAATAATTATCGAGGTTTGAGTTTCTTCTGAGAGAATAATGTAGATAGACGGAGGACAAGAATTTTCTACAGTGTATAGGTATGGCTTCGATTTCATCTAGAATTTTAGATAATGGTGGAAATTTATATTTACTTTGAGGTTTTATGCATGAGTTACATGAAGAGATTTTAATAATTTGACGTTTAAGTGTGCCATATCAGACTAATATGTCAATTTATTCAATTTGTTCGATTGGGTATATTGTCGAGGAATTGTATGTGATCCAGGTGGCTTTATTTTTATATAGTAATTTTTCACAATAGATACAAGGGGTGTCAGGATATTCTTTTAATATGGTTAATTGAAATTTGTTATAAATTCGTTGAAAAGGTTTACTTGGTCTCTATAGATCATTGTCTGGTAATGTGAATGATATTTGATTTGTAAAAAGATTCAAGTTTGAGGTGTTTACATTGATGATTAGAATACTGATATTTTGGGATGATTGGATATTTGTTAGGTTAGTGAATGAATCATCAAAGGATAGGTTAATCATATTTTCAGATGGTATATCTATGAAATATATATCATATACGTGATGAGACATAATTGATTAAGTTGATTATGGGTATCTTTTTTTTTGTAAAAGTGAGAGAGAAGTAAGGATTGGGATGGAAGCGAGAGAGTTATTTATACGTTTATTCAGTTATTGTTATTTGTTTTATTAAGAGTGATAATTATGTTAATTCTTCTGATTATTCTTGTTTGAAAGCAATCGTACTAATTGGAGATATAGTAATTGTATTAGTTTTTTTAATTCTTATTATTTTGGAACAAGACGATTGTATTGATTCTTTTAAGATGATTGAGATTTTTTTTTTAGGTCTGATTCTAGTTTAACAGATCAGTTTATCTTTTTTTTGGAGTATAGAGCCAGTTCTAAAAAAAATTGGATTTAATATACACATTTTTTTTTTACTTATTAGGGAAGAAGAGAAAAACAATTAGTCCAGTTTAATTTGCAATTGGAATTGTTTAACTTATTATTATTTTATTGGTTTAATTTACTGATTTAGTTTATGCTATTTAATCAATAATAATTTTATTTTATTTTTTTTTTTTAATTAGAAGAAAGTATTTTTTTATTGATAAAAAAAAAATAATTTGATGAATAATTCAGTAAAAAAAAAAAGGATAAAATAAAAATAGTAACAAAAAAAAAAAGAAAAAGAGGTAGGAAATTGGAAAGAGTAATTATTTATGTATCTGTATATAGAAAATAGTAAAAAATAGTAATAAAGAAAAAAATGAAAAATGAAAAAGGAAGATTTGTGAGTTTTTTTATTCAGGTTGCAGATTTTCATTTGAACTTAGTGATTGGATATTTGGCATGACACTTGTCACATTTGAGCTTGATAATTGGGTATTTGATGTGACACTTGCTATTGCTTGTGCAGAAATTCTTCCTGAAGATTGTCTGATTGGCCAGGAATATAGGATGAAGCAGATTCTTCAGTTGGTGATTCAATATTCATTGCTATAAACATTAGAAGGAAATGAATATCTTGTAATTTAACTATGTATTCAAGTGTTTTATCAATACGAATCATCTCGTCAGTGATCATTAAATTTGAGTTTTTTCTGATTCTAGTTCTCTTTTTCTTAATTTGTCTATCAGATTTCAAGTATCTGCATTTAATGCAGAATGTTCTTTCTGTGGGTCCACCTTGTGAACTTCTAGCAAATTCAATCACATTTAGCTTAATGATTTTAAATAGGTTGTCACTTTGAACTGATTCCATTTCTGTAATGAAACCTGTAAGAAAAACAGAAATAGAACTGATTGGCAAATTGTCTCAACTGATATTTATAAGGTCAGCTGCATTTGCTATCATCTAGATATTTTTTTAATAGTGAAAGAGAAAATATTCGTTATAAATATTTTTTTTTAATTAAATTAGTTAACTGAATTTATTTACTTCTATAGCATCATGAGGGTCTTTTAGAAGTGCGAATTTTCCAGTAAATCTTAAGATATTTCTATCAGCGAAAAGAGGAATTCATCTCAGTACTTGGGAATTTTTAGGAAAAAAAGTAATTATTCTTAGTTCTAAGTTTACATTTGTTTCTCTCCTTAATATAACGATTGCTTCTCTCACAATATATTCTGTAGTGTCTCTTTCAATTATTGAATGAATTATACAAATAAATGTGAATTTTGTTGGCATGATTTTATAGTTTATTTTTTAAAAAGAATTTGACGGTTATTGGTAATTGGTAATAGTAAAAAGAAGATAGAAGCTTTTTATTTATCATTTTTTTTAGTAAGAAAAGATAACGTAAGAGAAGCAGGATTTTTTTTCTTTTTGAGAAAAGAGAAATCTTCTTTGGGAATTTCACAAGAGATTCATCCTTTTTTTTTATTGTTTATTCGTTACTTATTTCTAAGAGAAAAAAAATATAGAAATGAAGAAGTGTTTTTTTTTGATAACTTTTGATATAAATTCAGAGAGGATTTTAAATAGGTTAGCAAGATTTTATTTCAGTCATTCATAAATGCATTTGCTTTAAATAGTCAAAATAATCATAGCATATTTTCTTTTTTTCTTAATTAAATTAACTAACTAAAAAAAAAAGTTTAATGAGAAAATTTTTAAAAATGCCACTTGTGTAAAGTTTTTTTGTATGGTATATAGCGTAATTAGATCCTTTTTTTTCTAATATATTGAACTGCTGTTTGTAAAAGCTGATTATCGAAGCATAAAGTATGAAGTAAGAAGCTTTACGCATGAAATTATGCATAAATTCATATAAAATTATGCATACAAAATGGAAGAAACTATAAAAATGGTAGAAAGGGTTAAACCATATTTTATTTTCAAACTAACCAAAACTGAATTTTTCAGTTAGTATAAACTGTCAAAAAATTATCTGATCCCTTACAAATAGAGGTTAGTGTTTCTGATCCTTTACAAATAGAGGTTAAGTAAGTAGCATAAGCTTTTTAGCGTTCTTTTCTGTATGCTTATTATTTGCCTCTGAACGGGTTTGTCGATTATATGAAATTTTAATGAGAAGGAAAAAAATGGTTTTTCTGATATTTTATAAAATTAATAAAAAGAAATCATATAAAATTCTTTTATTTTATTTTTTTTTCTTTTTCGATATTAGAATGGATTGGTGGTCACGCTTTTTAACTATATTTCAAGTTGTTCCTCAGTTAATCTTATATATCGTTACTACACATAACAGAATATTCTGGCTTTTTACAACAATTATACTTCTTATATGTAGCGGTAAAACTAAAAAGAAAATGAAGTTAGTACTTTCACAATTAGAAGAGTACTAAGTATGAATGAACTTTTTGACTTTCTAAACTATCTAATGATCCTCTCAGGAAAGTGAAAAGGAAGATTCACTTCAACACAAGGAGGGTATACTTCACTTTTCCAGTACGTAAGAAGAGTAGATGTAACCCAAAACAGAAGGTATGCGTATCTCACGAATGAGATGTTAATGTGATAACACTTTAAGCCTTTCTGCAAAGAAGAAGTGGTAATATCTTATGAAGGGAAAGGTAACATCCCATAAAGGAAAGGTAATAAAGTTCTACGAAAAGAAATTACTAGATTCAAAAAAGTTTGAAAATACCTTGTAAGTCAGACATTTCATCGTTTGGAGAAAAGTTTTTTTTTTACAGATTAGAGTATTCAGGATTTGTTGATCGCAATTTATATACATCTGTAATATATCACGCGATTTTTAAGTCATCACGTTAACAGTTATATAATATCAACATTTGACCATATTCACGTGATTTTATGTAGTCATGTGATATTATTTGTATTGTAACTACGCCATATCGATCATTTTATATAATAATACCTCTTTATAATAAATATAATTTGGTCAGAACATAATTTTAACCAGAATTACTATTGCATACATATGATTGTTATACAAATTTCCTTTTATATAATTTACATTACACATATCTTGTAAAGAAAATTTAGTCAATTTTGATTTTTTGTGAACTCTATCACTAAAGATGGAAATGATCATCATATCACATGATTTTATAAATTATAAAATTTATAATTCTGCCTAAAATTAATATAATTAAAATTTTATACCTTTATAACAATCACATCTTTATATAATCATTATAAAATAGCATAGTATATATTATCAAAAAATGATCTTTCTGATATTTGTTTCACATATTAAAAATGTTTGCTTTATTATAATTTTTTTTAATAAATTTATTTATGCATATATATTTTAAACAAAAATTTAACAATAGTAAATAACTTTCTTTTTGCAAATTTTAAACTTCAATAAGACTTTTTCTTTTATTTTTTATTTTAATTATAATAGTAAGTTTTAATAATTAAAAGTAAAGATAAGTTGACTAAAAAAAATGAAAAATAAATCTAAAATTATTGTTAATATTAAATTTTCTGAATTTTTTTGAAGTTAAAAAATTGAAAAATATGATATTTATAAAATTAAGCTATATATAAATATTAAAATAAAAGTAAGAAATCTTTTTTAAAACTTTAACTATTCAACTAATCAAATATATCAATATTGTAAAAAAAATCAATACTTTTATTCAAAAAGCATTTTAAAATAAAAATATTAAGCACAATATATTATATAAAGCATTGAATATATGATTTCTCAAGTGAATTAGAAAATGAGTTTAATTTTAAAGAATTTATCAATAATTATAAAAAATTACTGCAGTTAATAAATAAATGATAGTAATAGTAATAATTAAAAATTCTAAAAATAAAAAAATAAATTTAATTGAAAAATATTTATTAAAAATAAAGAACTGTTTAATATTTAATTATTTATTTATAAATTTTTAGACTTCTGATAATGAAAATTATTCGTCAACTTCTGAAAAAAAAAGGAAACATTACGTTTAAAAAGAAGAAAAAATCTTATATTATTAGAGAAGATAATTTGTTTAAGAAAAAGAATACAAATAAAAATAATTATATTATATTCAAAATAGTATTTATGATTTAATCTAATAAGATTATAATTTTAAATATAAGAAATTATAAGTTATTTTATAAAACTAATTTTTATTTGATATCTATAAACTTATTTATAATAATAGATAAATAAAAGTATTACTAAAGAAATTTTTTTAATCTATTTAGATATATTAATTAATAATAATAGTTAAACTATATTTACTACTATATCTATTATATCTATTATTATATCTCCCATTATATCTATTAATATATTAACTTTACCAACTACTATACTTATAACTAAACTTATTATTATTTCAAATGACATTATTTTTAAATTATTATTTATAATTATATATACTTACAATTTTTAATAATAAATTATCTTTAATTAATGAATTTTAATTTAGTTTAAATCAAAAATACAATTATAATAAAGTGTATTTTAAATTTAAAAAGATATTTTATGATATAAAAAATTTGATTGATGAATAAATACAAATATTAGATATTATAAAAATTAAATAATAAAAAAAATATTATATAAGTAACACATAAATATTATGATAATATAATGTATACATATTTTAGTTATAAATATAATTAAACTAATTTAAAGTATTAATTTTTTTATTATTTTTTTTATAAATAAATTGATAATATAAATGATCATATCATTTTGGGAATAATAATTAATAAAATATCTATTATAATGTTAGCATAATAATGGATGTTTTTTTTAATCAGCAAAATATATAGGTAACTTTAATACTTTAAACTTTGAAATTTCTGAATGCTAAACCACTTAAAGATTAAGTAATAATGAATTTTGAAGGAAATATATTACAAACTTTAATATGTCTTGTAAAAATTAATAATATTATCATAATATATATATTAATTATTACAAAAAAAATATACTAAAATAATAAGAAATATTTAGTCAATTATATTTTTCTATCTCTGTTAAATCTTCAGAAATATTATTAAGATTTATGTTATTATCTGTAGAAAACTTTATTAATAGTTTTTATTATTATAATAATAATAATATTCTTCTTTTATAAATTTAATAAATAGAAATCTTTTATTATATATATGATAAATTTTATGTTAAGTTTATTAATTTTAGAGTAAAAATCTTGTAGAAGTTTTAATTAGTTTTAAGAAACTAACTTGCTATTGAATTTGTCATTACAAGTTTGACTAATATATCTTAAATTTTAAGACATAATAAATTGCTGAGTTGATTCAAGTATAAAGGATACTTATAAAACTTAGGGAAAATCCTAAGGTTAGAAACTTCAACATGTAAAATCAACTGCTGCAACCTTTTGACTTAGACGTTAAGATAACCAAAAATGAATCCAGTGATATTATGTATTATATTTAGCTAAATTACTTAATAATTTATTTATTTCTAATTTTTTAAATAACTTTAATTATTTTTTAAGCTTTTAAATAAAAAAATAGTTGCTATTAAATTATTAGATAAAGTTTAAAAAGATATAAAAAAATATAAGTAAATAAATAAAATTTTATAAATAATAACTTTTTTATATAGTTTTTGATGATTTATTTAATATTATAGAGACATAATACATAATTTTATTATTTATATTTCAAAACTGTTTTTTTTAATGTAATTTTTTCAGATAAAAATCTCATATAGCAATGAATTGTAAATCAAATAATTTAATAAATGAATAAAATTAGTATTTTCAAAAATTTTTAGGAATTTTACAAACAACTAATATAATAAAGTTACATAAAGAAATATTAAAAAAAATCTTTTAATATTATTTTTTTTAAATGTAACTCATATTTTTAATTTTTTAATTATAAATTTTTTATTATTTGATAAATTAAAGCTATAGTTAATAATGTAAAATCAATAGTAAATTATTTTAAATATTATACAAGTAACAATTAAAGTATATTTAATTTAAAAATCTAACAAGAAAATTACATTAGTTTTACTAATATTTACATGATAGGATACATATTTTTATCTGTTTTTCAATCATTTCAAAAATCAAGAATTACTCTTAAATAATTATAGATAAAGCCTTTGATAGTAGATTTTTGATATTAAAATCTTAAAAGCTATGATTATAGTATTAAAGTCTTTTGAATCAGATATATCTATTTTCCTAATAATTTATTCATATTATCAAATTAATAGAACAATTTGGTAAATTTTTTGAAAGCATGCATATCATCCTATTATGATGGCCGCTTATTTATTAGATTCATATTTTTAGAAAAAAATAGAAATACAGATTTAGAAATGCTGAATTTATAACATTTCTAACAAATTGTTTGGTCAGGAAAAATCTATTGCAAAATCCAAAATCGATTACGTAATAATCATGTTAAAAAGTTGGTTTATGTTATGGAAATCTTTGTTATACGATGAATTCAAAAAAATAAAGGTATGTAAAAATAAAGATGATAATAATGAAAGTGGCGATGAAAATGACAATGACGATTTATTGGATTTGAATCAAATGTAATAGATTTGACGCAAAAATATAGCTATTTTTAATAGATATCGTAAATATAATAAAGTTCCGTTTAATCAATATTGCGATATATAAAAATTTTAAAATTTATATTACGGTTTGAAGTAGAATATGCGTTTTTATGGATGTGACGCAAGACACGTGAAATATAGTACGCGACGAATAGAATTCACTTGTTTAAATCACGTTATCACAAAATTTTTGTGGGGTCATTTTTCTTAGTGTAACACAAAGCAAGCCCTTTATTTAATCTCAGAAAAATTATTACACCTGATCTTTATTTCTATTCTTGCTTATTTTTTCTTTTACAAAAATAACATAATACAAGATGTCGTTCATAGAATCCGAACAAAAAGTACTTATTAATACGAGAGCAGGTGGTGTGTACATTCCACCTGCTCGGTTACGGCAGATGCAACAGACAATAACTGATAAATCTAGTAAAGAATATCAAAGAATCACATGGGAAGCTCTGAAAAAAAGTATTAATGGGCTCATCAATAAGGTATTTTAATCTTTTGTCTTTTGATCTAATTGATTTATTAAATTAATCAAATCTCAATCTTAGGTCAACACTTCAAATATAAAGAACATTGTTTTTGAGCTGTTTAATGAAAATCTAATTCGTGGTAGAGGTCTTTTTGCTAGATCGATCATGAAAGCACAATCGGCATCCCTACCGTTTACACCTGTTTATGCCGCGTTAGTGGCTATTATCAATACTAAGTTACCACAAATTGGCGAATTAGTGCTTACTAGATTAATTGTTCAATTTCGTAAAGCATATAGGCGTAATGATAAGGTTTTATTTTATTATTATTTTTTTTTGAGACATTTTTACGATTTGAAATTAACTTTTTAATAATCCGAATGTAGACGACTTGTTTAGCCACAACATCTTTTATTGCACATTTATGTAACCATCTGGTATCTCACGAAATCGTCGCATTACAAGTCCTAGTTCTGTTACTTGAACACCCTACTAGTGATTCGGTAGAAGTTGCCGTTGGGTTTATGCGTGAATGTGGTGCTCACTTAGCTGATGTCTCACCAAAGGCGAATAATGATGTCTTTGATCGATTTAGGGCTATTCTACATGAAGCAAATGTAGAAAAAAGAGTTCAATATATGATCGAGGTGCTGTTCCAAGTAAGGAAGGATAAATTTAAAGATAATCCACCAATTCCTTCAGAATTAGATTTGGTCAAGGAAGAGGATCAAATTACTCATCACATATCAATAGATGATGAATTAGATGTTGAAGAAACCCTTGGTATATATATAGTTTATTTTATCTTTTAAATCTTTTTTTTTGAAATTTTTTTTTTTTTCGATATGCTAATTATAATTTTCATGATACAGGTGTCTTCAACTTTGATCCAGATTATTTAGAAAGTGAGGAAAAATACAAGGAAATAAAGTCACAAATATTGGGGGAAGATTCTGAAGAAAGTGGTGAAGAATCAGGTTCTGAAGACAGTGATGATAACGAAGAAGATGAGGATGAAGAAGAATTGGCCAAGAAAATGGAAATTCACGATCAAACAAATACCAATTTGATAACGTTGCGAAAGACGATATACTTGACTATCAAATCAAGTCTTGACTTTGAAGAATGTTGTCACAAACTAATGAAACTAAATATTCAAGAAGGACAAGAAGTATGATCTTTTATTTATCACCTATATGTTTTGAAGTCATTTGCTATTTTACCTAATTTTCATTAATAATTATAGACGGAACTTTGCAACATGATAATTGAATGTTGTTCTCAAGAACGTACTTATGAAAAATTTTTCGGTCTCATAGGAGAACGACTTGCAAAGATAAATTCTGTTTGGGCCAAAGCTTTTGAGCAATGCTTTGTTCAATATTACGAAACGATTCATCGGTATGAAACAAATCGATTAAGAAACGTATCAAAATATTTTGGACACCTTTTAGCATCAGATGCTATTTCTTGGGAAGTTTTTAGTGTGATTAAATTGACAGAAGATGATACTACATCAAGTTCTCGAATTTTTGTTAAGATATTATTTGAAGAACTTAGTGGTACTTTAGGTATACCGAAACTTAAAATGAGGTTAAATGACGATACAATGAGCATATATTTCCAAGGTCTTTTTCCAAAGGATCATCCAAGGAATATACGATTTGCAATCAACTATTTTACAAGTATTGGATTAGGTCAATTAACTGAAGGGTTAAGAGAGTATTTAGCGGTAAGGAACATTGATACGACATATATATATATTTTTATTATTATTATTAGTAAATAAATAAACTCTTTACTTTTCCACAATTAGAATGCACAAAAACAAATATTGGCGGCAAAACGTAAACGAGAGGATAGTAGTAGCTCATCAGATTCAGATTCGTCATCCGATTCGTCATCATCATCATCATCGGGTTCATCTGACAGTTAATATACTTGTTATTTCTCTCAGGTAATTCAGGTAATTCAAAATTTCTTAATAAATATATTTATTTCTCGTAAAAATTCCCAAAATTTTGAAAAATTGATTGGATGAAGACAAAAAAACCGGTAGAAATAAAAAAATATTTGTGGACAACTTAATCTCGGTATTTATTATGGAAATAACAGGAACTGATCAAGATTTAGATAAAGCTTTTTTAGATAAAGCTTTTTATTGGTATCAAAATCATCGACTCTGAGAATAAAACGTTCTTACAGTTAACAATCAATTTGACATTAAAATGGTCATTCATGAAATCGATAGATTAAATAATGCATAATATATATATTATATCAAATTTTTAAATAATGTAAGATATATATGTACATATATTGACTCATATAAAACTTGAAAATTAAAGCCCACGATATTATGGTATGAAACAAATTCATTTAAAAGCAGAAGCTTCTCTTTCTAACCATCGAAGTCCTGGACTATTTTGTTCTAAGAAAGGTGATACTTTTTGAAGACATTCAGCATTATAATCATTAATCCATTTGTGTTCAATAGGATCCAAAAGAGAGGCATCAATAAGTTTTGTCTGAATAGGAACCAAAGTAATATGTTCAAATCCCAAAAATCCACGATCATCAAAATTATGTGGTGTTTCCACCTCTCGAACAAATACGAGAGTTTCAATTCGAATACCAAACTTGCCATCCTCATAATACCCTGGCTCATTAGTTACTGTCATACCTGCTTGAAGGGGTACCTCATTGAATGTAATTCGGGATCCAATTCCATGGGGACCTAATCAATCCAAAATAAATAATTATTCCTTTGTTCTCGTATTTATAATATATGTTATATAATTATTAAACGAAAAAAAATCTTTACCCTCGTGTACATTCAAATAACATCCAACACCATGCCCTGTACCGTGACGAAAATCCAAACCGTCTCTCCAGAGCGGTGCTCTTGCAAAAACATCCAACAAATATCCTGATATTTTATTTAATTAAAAAAAAAAAAAAAAAAATGAAGAGAAATGGCGAGACACAAATGATTGCAAAGTATTTGGATCCATATTCTGGCTTTACCTGTAGTGCCTTTCGGAAATATTGCACGGTCGATCGCAATATGCCCTTGGAGGACTCGTGTGAATGCGCGCTTCTCTTGCGCAGTTGGTGTGCCAAAATGTATGGTACGCGTTACATCAGTAGTACCATTTCTAAATTATTTAATAAGTCAAGTATATATACATATACATATATGTAGTAAAAAGGTGTGAAGAAGGTGTTTAAAAAATTACTTGTATTGACCGCCAGAATCACATAGGTAAAGTAAATTTGGATCAATTTTAGCACATGTTTCTGGTTCTGGTTTATAATGTATAATGGCTCCATTAGGTCCTGATGCCGAAATAGTATCAAAGGATAAACCAACAAAATCTTCTTGTTCTCTATTATTGTAAATCTATTGTTAATAATCTTTAACAATATTAATGTTTGTATTTTTGAATTTAATTATCAATAAACTTTTCATACCCTCTAAATTTCTCCAAACGATCTGCTCCATCGATTTCACTTAATTTCTTTCCGGCGGCAAATTGTTCTTCAAGCCATGCGAAATAATTAATCTTAAAATATATATATATAAATAAATAAATTAAATTAATTATAAAACAAAGAAATAACTTCGATAAATATAATAAATACCACTGCTGCAGCATCTCTGAGATGACATTTCCTTATGCCCTCTAATTCCACTTCATTTTTAATTGCTTTTGCATCCAGGATAGGAGAACGAGTCGTTTCTATATTTTCCTATAAAATCATCCCATTTTTAATTATAAATTCTCGATGTAATCATTTTTACAAAATACCCACTTCGCCAGCAGCCAATGCCAGAGCAAAACTTGTACGGGTACTTATAAGAAGTTTCTATGCATATGCAATAACATATAAAATAATATATTAAGCTCGAAGTTTGAATGTAGTAAAACTCATTAAGAAATCTATAATTTAGTAAACCTGATTATCGCTCTTAAATTTGTCTTGTAAATTACGTAGATCTTCGAAAACAGAATAATAAGGACGAAATCGAATACTGGATCCCAAATGATCCTTGATTTCATCGGATAACTTATTCTCGTCGATATAAAGTACAATATCGTTTTTGGTGATAAGAGCATAAGCAAAAAAAACGGGATTATATTGAACGTCAGAACCACGAAGGTTAAAAAGCCCTTAATTTCACAATAGATAATGTTCGTTACAATTCGCTCCAATTTTTAGGAAGGGGTATAAAATACAGAGAAATAATCTACAAACAAGCAATCTCATCTAGAGCGGATACAACAAAACCATAATAATTTTCTTTGGCAAGCTCTTCTCGAAGTTTCGCGATTTTATCGGTATGAGAGCGTCCTATAAATATAACAAATTATTCTGTAAGTACATTTTACAATAAAATATTTTGCTTCATATTATAACGCGTTCTTACCAGCATATTTCAATGGTAAAACGATTACCGGATTACATGGACGAGATGGTCTAGCATCTCCCCATACCAAATCGACTAAATTATTTTCAATAGAGACTAACGATGACCCAATTTTTCCAAGCGATTCTTTTAAAGCTTTCGCATCGTCTAGACAATATTTGTAATAGGATCACATTTATATAATTAATTACAAAATTTACTTGCATAAAAAAGTGAAATGCTACTCACTCGCCATAATCAACGTTGGATCGATTCCGATTTTCGAACCTTTAGGAAGATCCTGTCAAATATGGGTTAAAAAATAAATAAATAATTATTTATACTTTGTATTATCTCTGGTATCGACCGAATTGAGGAGAGAAATAAATTGATAAACTACTTGTACTAAATATTCTTGCCAAGTTGGAACATCAGGTAAACCTTGTTTCATCAATGTCCAATTGTGGTCAAGTTGCTTACTGGCCTGCAAAAAATATCGACCATCTGTAAAAAGCGCAGCATCCTTTGTTGATACAACTGCCAAACCTGTTGCAATTATATTTGAGGGTTAATTGCTCGTTTAAAAAAAATAATACAACGAATTTTGATGAATTTGAACAAACCAGCAGAGCCCGTGAAACCGGAAATAAATGCCCTTCGAGCATCACAACTCGCTGTATATTCACTCTGAATAAAAATAATTAATAATCGAAAAAATTATTACTTGACAATAGGCGCGCGCCTTTAAAATAATTAAATTTTAAAGAATCAAAAAAAAAAAAAAAAAAATTTATAGAATTAATGAGAACCGTTTAAAATTATTACCTGGTGAGCGTCTTCTGAAGGAATTACACTTGAAAAAAAGCAATGTATTAAAAAAAAAAATTTAAATTCAAAATGTATTGAAAGAAAATGTTAAAATGTATCTGTACTTACTACGCAGTTATATCATAATCTCCTCCTTGGAACAAAGATCTAAGCTTTGCTAATCTTTCGGTTGTATTAACAGCTTTTACTTCAAACGCGTCTTTATCGTTAGCCATTGTCTTTGGCCTTAATATGGAAGTATAAGTGTTCAACAAACGAGCTGTAAGACGTGTAGTTTGTGCAATAATAATACGTTCAGGTGTGAAAGTTCGAATGAAATTCAAAAAAATCATAAATATTTTAGCATGCCAAGATTTCGTAAGATGAAATCCGAGCCAATTGATTCGACGATCTAACCCTTTGAAATTATCCGAACAAAAAAAAGTGAAACATTTCTCATTCAATACAAAAAAATTTATAAAGATAATGAGCGACGCGTTAACCAACACACTTAACCCAACGACTTCTTCAACGATAACCATTCGTATCATAAAAAATTTTGAATATCGTACAATCAAGAATCTTGTTTTACAGCATGTAAATTTAGAAACAACTACTATCAAAGAGCTAAAGGAACTCGTACGAGAAAGTATTTAATTTATTACTCTTTTTTTTTTTTTTTTTTTTTTTTTTTTTCGAATTTATAATAATCGATGATTTCTTTATTAATAGGGATAAAAACTACATCTGGATTAAAGGCTTTTCGTAATGTGAATTATGGTGAATTTTTGATTTTTATAATCTAATTAATGTTTTACTCATACTAAATGAGCGTTAACTATGTTAATCATTTCTTCATGAAAAAGACACGCTAAAACTTTACACAAAAGCGCATGGAACTAAAGTAATTTTTTAAAAAAATAATTTTTTTTTTTTTTCAAACGATAGATTAATTTCTCCATTATTAGACACAAAACTTGGCGATAAACATTGATGATGACACAAATTCGATTTTTTTAAATGAAGATGCAACCTTGATTTCATGTGGTATCGGTATGATCGATCTTTCACATTTATATTCTTCGTTAATTTTAAGTAGTAAGTTTGTTAATTTTTTTTTTATTCCTTTTTTTTTTTCTTAAAAATATTAAAAAAAAATGAAACTAAAAGAAAATGAAACAGAGATTTCTTTTTTCAACCGCGAAGCGTATGAAGCTTATAAAATACACCCGGACGTAATTAAATGGGATTAGTAATTAATTTTTTTACAATTTATTATTTAGTTCAATTATAATAATTCTAGTTATATTATTGCAAAAAGGGTAATAAAATAATTTGCGTATAATGGCTCAAATTAATCATTAATATTACTATTATGAATAAAAATATTACCCTTGAATCGAACCCATATTTTCAATTTTATAAATTTCCAGTAAGAATATTTTTTTTTGGAATTCCCCAATGCGAACACCTTCAGATTTTACGAAAAAATTACGAAATGATCCAGTCCGAGTTAATACGTGTCGTATTCGGTAACTCTATCATATATAATATATTTGACAAGGCTACCTTATTACATAATTAACTATAAAGCTTATAAAATAAATAAAGCAAAGGAAGAAAAAAGAAAGGAAGGAAAAGAATAGTCCTCTTATTTTCAAATTCTTTCCCATTATTTCGACAAAAAATTGCTATCCGAATTTGCTGTGGTTTTGTTGCCTTCAACCAATTCTGCGGTAATAAGATTATTCACTTTTGGAAATGAAAGTTCTTCTTCCAATTCATCTTGAGCCCAAACCAACATTTTTATCATATTTGGTAATTTCGGATCTTTTTCTTGACTTTGTGAAATTAGGATTGCAGAATTTAATTCGCTTGCTGTACGTTGACGCTGCGAAGGATGAAGTAAGTCACCAACCGGAGAAACGTTCGTATCATCAAATGCCAATAAAGCCATTGTACGTTCCAATTCTTCCAAAAATTCAGGCTTTTATAAAAACCAATATAAATATATTATTAATGAATTTACTTTTTATTAAAAAAAAAAAAAAAATGTACATCCAAAAGTTTAATCAAAGATAAAATGAATTGATTACATTTTCTTCTCCACGAGGTGCCAACTCATCTTGAGCAAATTCTAAAGCTTCCGCTATTTTCCCTTCCCGGATATATTCTATCAATCGTTGTTGTTGGAGATGAAAATATAATTTTGGATTTGTATCCAATATCTAATTTTCACAATTGGGACAAAACAAAAAAAAAATTAATAATAATAATCTTGTAACTTGATACTTAAATATTTGACTAAATTATGTATTAATAAAACTCATATTGAAGACTGAATGGTGTATGAATATCAACATTGACTCCAAAAGAAGTCTGAGAGTGGTGCATGAACACTTTCTAATCATTGTTTTCTTAATCATGAACCTAAGAAATAAAAAAATTTTTTTACCTCTGGATTTAAATCATTTACACGTTCAATTGCCTCTTCAACATTCCCATTTTGTATGGCATTCCGAATATTCATACGATCTTGAATGGAATCAACATCAATGCTCGGTGACAACCCGCTCTCTTGACTAAATGTTTCAGCTGCGTCCTTATACCCTTCAATTACGAAATAATTCATTATGAGTTTATTAAGATCACTATAAAAAGTAAATGTTTGTTTATCAATGTAAATCATGAAATATTATGATGAATTAAATATAAGATTTGTAAAACTTACTTTTTGTCGATTTTAACATTCGATAATTTCTTAACCCATTCATCTTTTGTCACAACTTTTTTTTGTGAGGAAGTTCCTACACTAGTCTATAAAGTCGATCAGTTTCGAACGCGAAACATTGTAAACAAAAAGAAGCAAAAAAAAAAATTTACAATAATTCTTTATACTCAACCATTTTGTCAATTTACTTTTGAATTCAAAAAATATTCTAATCTTTTTTCTTTTTTCTTTTTTTTTTTTTTTTTTTTTTTTTTTTTCCTTTTTTTATACTAATAAGGTATATGACGCGTGACACAAAATGTGATAAACTTAACATGTTACACTACAGATGAAAATAGTTCGCAGATAATCGGAATAAACTGTCAATATGGGAATTTTATTTTTCCCCTTAATATGATGTTGTTCTTCCCAACAAAAAAAAAAAAAAATTGTGTATAATATACCATTATCTAGAACGTGGTGATTTACTCGCGAAAATTGTTGTTAATAATTATATATGTCGGACAGTGAAGAAGAAAAAGAAGCCAGCTCTTATTATACTAATTCTTATTGCAACATTGCCACTGATTTTTATGAGGTATTCTATGAAAAGAAATTTAACAAAATTAATAATAAAAGCAATGTTATGGTAAATTGGTTAAAGTTTTTTTACATTCATCAATTCATAAAATGGTTGGGTGAAAGCTTTCATTTCTGCCGATTTTATCCCAGAGAAAACTTTTATCAGGCCATTGCATTATTTGGCCATGCAATTAAATATTAAACCAGGAATGAAAGTTTTGGATGTTGGTCGTGGTGTTGGTAAATATCGGTTTAAAAAAAAAGGAATTGTTATTTTTTTTATTGTTCTAACCATTTTTTCACCCATAAAAAGGTGGACCTGCGCTTGAAATTTGTCAATTCACCGGAGCCCATATTACTGGTTTAAATAATATATTATTATCAAATTTGTCGTGCAATTAAATCAGCAGTTAATATGGGGTTAGAAAATAAAACAAAATTTTTATCAAGGGTGAATTCATGGAAATGCCATTCGAAGATAATTCTTTAGATGCAGTATATGCCATTGAAGCAACATGTCATGCTCCAAAAGTTGGAAGGAGTTTATGTCCAAGTATTTCGCGTTTTAAAACCCGGAGGTACCTTTGCTTTTTATGAATGGTGTGTGACTGATAAGTACGATCCAACTAATACTGATCATAGAAGAATTATTCGTGGAATTGATGTAATTAAAATTATATAGTCCTTCGCTACGCTCCGGACTAAGCTGTTTGTCCGCTCAATAATTGAGTCGATGCTGATTGGCGTTTACAATTTGCACAAAAGTCTAGATAAAGCATAGTCTAAATGGTCCGTATAGAGTAACCATAAATCTGTGGTAGCATATATGCGCAGAAATTTAAGTTTTTCACAGAAGCATATGCTATTACATATTTTAGTGTAGATAAGCAAATCAATGATCGATCTTTTTTCTTAAAAGAATGGTTTCAGCAACCGAGCGTAGATTTGAACCCAGAATATAAAAAATTTTTATGTTGATGGTTTTAGATCATAAAAAAAAATCTACATTTAGATGCACATTTAAAATCAGGAAAGCATGAAAAAATAAAAAACATCGCATATTTTAAAAAATTGAACAAAATTTATCGTATAAAGCAGGCATTTTTAAAATTGAACACCGCAGATTCTAGTCTGTATAAAGTCTATTCTAGGTGACACAAAAATGTCCCGCTCGAAATTTGAGTCGTTCGTGATTGGTCCCTTAACAATGGTGAACGAAGTGAAAGAGATTGCACAAAAATCTCGATAAAGCAAATACTAGTGTGAATTTTTTTAACAAGTTATCAATCATATGAAAAAAATACTATATTAGGAATTCGTCATAGGAATCGTTGAAACCTCTATTGATAAGGATTTTAGGTTGAAAGAATGAGAAGCCATTTTATAAAGAAATTTTGATCGGCACATGAATTGATATTAACTTTCTGCATAATCTTTATTGGTATATTTAATTGGATATAAATACTATTTCTTTTATATTTATTATTCGTTTAGGACAAGCCTTATACTTTATTCCATTAAATTATTAGAAGATTATAATTATTATTTCGATTTTGAATTAAAGAAAATCATTTTTTTTTTTTTAATTCGAGAATTTTTATTAGTCACCAAAAAGATCTACAATTAAAACAAGTTTCAATATTATCGGCCTATCAAAACTTAAAATAACATAGCATCTTTTTTCGTGCTGAATTATTGATCAAAAAACTTTTTCTAACCATTCTCAACTAGGATCACTATTTTTCGTAACTAAATGATATTCAACATACTCGTATTTTGACACGTGATTGTACTAAAAATAATATTCACGTCGGAATAGCAATTTTACGATCGTATGTTTTTATCGTTGTGTTCACTTTCAATAAGAAATCGAAGATATCAATTTTTTGCAAAAGGCAGTAAAATCGCTTAGTTCATACTAATAAGGTATATGACGAGGTGACACAAAATGTGATGTTACACCAACAGATGAAAAATAGTACACAGATAATCAGAATTAACTGTAGTATGGAATTATTTTCCCCTTAATATGTTGTTCTTCCCAACAAAAAAAAAAAAAAAAAAAAAAATTTCTTGTATAATAAACATGTATAAATACAAATAAATAATATTTATGGATGAATCCTCCTTTTTTGGGTCCATTTCTTAAAAAATCTCATTTCCATTATCTAACAACAAAATGTCACAAACCTTTGAAGAAGATTTAGCATTCTCGAAGACTTTACATAAGCATGAAGCTGAACGTGGTGGTTTGCTCGCGAAAATTACTTCAAAGGACAAAGAAGCCTTTGAAAATGTTGTTAATAATTATATGAGATACTGGGTCGGTAAGGACCCCATGTCAGAAAGTGAAGAAGAAAAAGAAGCCAGACGCTCTAATTATACTAATATGACCAATTCTTATTACAACATTGCCACTGATTTTTATGAGGTATTCTATGAAAAGAAATTTAACAAAATTAATAATAAAAGCAATGTTATGGTAAAGTGGTTAAAGTTTTTTACATTCATCAATTCATAGTATGGTTGGGGTGAAAGCTTTCATTTCTGCCGATTTTATCCCCGAGAAAACTTTTATCAGGCCATTGCGCGTCATGAGCATTATTTGGCCATGCAATTAAATATTAAGCCAGGAATGAAAGTTTTGGATGTTGGTTGTGGTGTTGGTAAATATCGTTTTAAAAAAAAAAGGGAATTGTTATTTATTTTATTTTTCTAACCATTTTTTCACCCATAAAAAGGTGGACCTGCGCGTGAAATTTGTCAATTCACCGGAGCCCATATTACTGGTTTAAATAATAATGATTATCAAATTTGTCGTGCAATGAGATCAGCAGTTAATATAGGGTTAGAAAATAAAACGAATTTTATCAAGGGTGATTTCATGAAAATGCCATTCGAAGATAATTCTTTTGATGCAGTATATGCCATTGAAGCAACATGTCATGCTCCAAAGTTGGAAGGAGTTTATGGCCAAGTATTTCGCGTTTTAAAACCCGGAGGTACCTTTGCTTTTTATGAATGGTGTGTGACTGATAAGTATGATCCAACTAATGCTGATCATAGAAGAATTGTTCGTGGAATTGAGGTAATTTAAAAATTTTTAATATTCCCATTGTGTTGTTTTGTATATAACACGTGACGCTCATCATTTGTTCGTTTAGTACGCTGATGGAATTCCCGAATTGTTTAAAACTTCAGAGGCATTACAAGCTTTGAAAAATGCTGGATTTGAAGTTATTTCTGCTGAAGATTTAGCTGTGAATGATGATCAAATTACTTGGTATTATCCATTAGAAGGAGATATGGGAAAGGCTCAATGTATTTGGGATTTCTTTACCGTTTTCCGAATGACACATCTTGGCAAATTTTGTACTAGGGCCTTGGTAAATATTTAATTTTTATAATTTTAATACATATATATATCTCTCTTTTTAATATATCTTTTTGATATATTACTTCAATCACTTAGGTGGGAGGATTAGAAACATTTGGTATAGCACCAACAGGTTCTTTACAAACGCAACGTGTTCTTGAAACTGCCGGTGATTGTTTAGTTGAAGGCGGTAGATTAGGAATTTTCACCCCAATGTACTTAATGGTTGGTAAAAAACCCATGAGTGTCAATTAATGTTCCGTTTCACTTTTAAATTGTATTTATTAATAAAAATGTTTTGTAACCGCGTTTGAGCGCGATGTGCATTTATGTAACCAGATGAAAGTTTGTCACGTGATTTTTGTTCAATAAAATCCGCCTAGTTTAGTTAAAATTTACATGATGCTACACTAATAAAATGTGGCTGATAAGGCTTTTTTAATTTTTTTCGTACACGTGAAATACTTTCCAGCCATAAATGTGTTTTTTTTTTTTCCTGATCAATCATACTCAATAATAATGTCTCTTGGAAATAGAGCTTCAGATTTTGCTCATAGAACTTTAGTTATAGCATTGGCTGGTATTGCAGGTAATTCGTAAAAATGAATATTTTAAATAGTTAAAATAGTACTTAATTATTTGTTCTCCCTTTAGTATACTCTTTTGTTGGAGCAGGTGTAATGATAAATCGAAGATTAGATAAAAGTAAAGAAATGTATATGCGTCAAGAATTGGTTCGTTAAAAAAAAAAAAAATTTAAATCTCAATAAATTCGCTCTTTTTTTTTTTTTGCGCTCAAATTTCTTTTCTAATAATATCTATTTTAATTAAAAAGCAAAAATTTTCGCAAGATACATCACAAAATTCCGAGAGTATAGTGACGGACGATAATGTTTAAAAAATTACTAAACTACTTTTGCTCGTTTTATTGAATGAATTAAATAAAATAAAATAAAATAAAATTTTGATTTCTTATTCGGAATGCTTTATTTTTTTTTTCTATTTAAACATTATATCCAACTATACTAAATTTACCAAAGATTTCACCTAAAGCAAAGAAACCTGCTACTTCGATACTTCGTATACCAATTTGTATAAAATCTCTTGGACTTAAATCTTTAATACTTTGCCATCGAATAGCTTTAAGATTTTCCCAAGCCTCAGAAAATTGGGCACCGTTTGGTGGACCAAGGTTTTCTTTTTTATAAACTTCTTTAGCAATTTCTTTAAGTACCCTTGCATTGTACACAATTGGTCTTTGATAACCTTTAAATAAATGAGGTGTTAAGTTATTATTAATTTAAAAGTCGTTAAACGTACTATAAGCGAATAAAATACCTGCAACTTTAGACAAGGTGCCTTGAACACCTTTAGCGGTCTTACTAACTTTTTCGGTAACTTGTTGAGTATTCAAATTACGACTACCCGCTCCATATGAATAACGAAGTATTACATTTGAACGGTTTAACAAGGTAGATTTTAAAATGCTTGAGGAAAACATGGTAGCGGAAGTCGTTATTTATTAACAAATTTTAAGGAAGAAAAAAATTTTTTTTTATTAGGGATAAAATCAATCTTGATGACGACATATATTTATTGGTGGCTTAGTAGTTTTACATGAATAAAAAAAAAAAAAAAAAAAAAAACTGATAATTAAAAATAATTTAAAGGTTCGATTTCAACAAGGGATTGATTTCTTTTTCAATTTCTTCAGGCTAGAAATTTTTTAAAAAAAATAAAAAAACGAATTATAAATTAAAAAGATTGCATTAAATATATCTTTTTTTTTTGTATTTTTTAATTTTTTTTTTTACCAACCTTAACATTAGAAGGAAACCTTTTTATAACGTTGCCGTTTTTATCAATCAAGAATTTCTCAAAGTTCCATTTGATATCGCCAGATTGTTGAGATTTCAAATATTCGTAAACGGATGATGCGTTAGTACCGTTAACATCAATTTTTGCAAATATAGGGAAAGTAACATTATAATTTGTAGAACAAAATTGAACAATTTCTAATGGTTTTATAAAAATTTATAAAAATTTAACAATCATTGGTTAAGATTATTCTTTGGAAAAAAATAAAAATAAAAATAAAAAAAAAAACATTACCTTCTTCGGTGCCTGGTTCTTGAGAACCAAATTGATTACACGGAAAACCGGCAATGACTAAACCTTCGCCTTTATATTTATTATAAAGGCTTTCAAGTCCCGAATATTGTGGGGTAAATCCACATTTTGATGCTACATTAACAAGCAATACAACTTTTCCTCGCCATTCAGCAAAGCTGAAAGGTGCTTTCTTAAAATCGGAAGCTTCAAGGTCATAAAATCCTGTCATCGTAGAAAATTTTTTTATAAAACCGTTATTTTTTCGAAAAGTTTTTAACGGGAAAGATGAATTTGTAGATAAGATTTTTAAAGAGAAGAGTGAGGAAGCATTTGTGGTTGATGTGGCTTTTGATGCAGATGGGAAAAATAGATATTGATTGCGAATCATTTTTTGTTTAGATATCGGATACCATTAATGGTGTCATTGATAGATTAATATATATACAATCCGTGGGTAAAAATTCATTAACTGTTCATGGTAATAGATTGTAACTAATGTTTTACTAACTTCACGTGACCGATATTAACATGAATAAATATCATGTGGAGAAATTCAATTTCTTTAAAAAACATTGTTCCGATATGGTGATTTTATTTTTAAAAGAAATTTAAAAGGGCAAATTTTATGAATTTGTTTATTGCCCATCGCGTTTTTGAATGATATTACGGAAATTGTTTGGAACATATTATGAGAGTATTCATTAAATGCGTAGAAATGTAATGATTTATATTATTTATGCACTGTTTAAATTACTAAAAGATCATTTTAAAATAAAACATTAATAGTCCTTATTTTTATTACTTTATCAAAAGAATATTTTTTTTTGTTAAATACACTTTTTTTTTTATTTTTTCGGATGTTTATTATTGATTTCATTATTAGATCTAATACTTCTTATACTGAGATCGACATATTAAAGCAGAACATTGTATTTTTATAGAAAGATTGGTTCCCTATATTCTGTTTAATTAATAGGAAAAAAAGACTTACCAACGTTATATATTTTATATCCAATCAACTCATTGTAAATATATTAGAATCATCTGTTTCCAAATCATGCTATAAATTTATAAAAAGTAAATCATATAACTAAGCATTAGAAAAAGTTTACATAATATAATAATATATTTATAAAGAATTTATTGGCTATTTTCTTTTCTAGTAGGGTTCCGATATTTGAATATTACGATTATTCAAATCGATTATTTTGATAAATTAGTATTAGTAAAAAAAGCTATATCCCCGAAATTTGGAGGCGTATTTTACTTGTCTTTTCTCAATTAAGCTTCAGAAATAACCTTTTTTTAATTATTAATTTTAATTTTTTTTTAGTTTGGTGATTTTTAAGTATAATTATAATATTGAAAAAATTTCTGTTTTTAAAATAGTTGACAAAAAATGAAAGTAAAGAATATTTTTTTTTAAATAATCACATAATAATAATGATAATAATCATGTTTTTGATTAGCAATAATATAATATGATTTTATCCTTAAAAAAAAAATTTTTTTTTTGATATTTTTAAAAAAAAAATGAAATATATGATATAAGATAACAAATTATATTATAATTCATCTTAATGAAAATATTTTATTTTACTAACAATGTTCATTATTTCCTATAGTATTATTTCAAAATTTTATTTTTAAAAGGCTACTCAAATCCAATCCTTTGTTTAATATAAAGATATAAAACAGTTTCAAATAATTTTGTAATTTCTGATTATAAAAAATATAATTGTTTATTTATAATAAATAACTCTTATTAAAAAAATTATTATTAATAATTTTAAAAGTAAAATAAGTTTTAAGATTAATAAGATATTTAAATTAAAGTCTAATTTGTAAAATATAGTCTAAAATTTTAATAATAAAAATTTTGGATTTCTAAATACACTTTATTATTTATTTTTAATAATATTTTATTAAAAAGTAATATATAATGTCAGTAAAAATAAAAATCTTCTCTAAAATTAGCAATTTTATTAGAACTTTAGGATTATTTAGCATCATTAGCCTAATATATAATCTTTCTTTTAATAAAATATAAAAGGTAATTAAATAATAAATAAATTATATCAATTTAATTAGTTTAATTTAATTACTTAAATTATTATTAAATTAATTGCATTTTACTATTAGATTGACTACAATTTTTCATTAATATATAAATAATACTTCTAATTTTATTATATTATTGAATAATAAAAAGAAGATATTTGCAAAAATCTACTTTGTAATAATTATTTTAAAAAAAATAATTAGATAAAAAATAAAATATAAATTACTTTTAATATCTTTTTATTTAAGGATAATTTCTTTTATAAGAAATAATATTTATGAAAAAATATGAAAAAATTATAAAAATTTAAATCTAACTAAATAAAAGATTATTATAATTTTTTTAAATAAAATTATTATAATTAAAATAGGATAAAATTATTTATGATATATATTTTTTATTGAATTTAATGATGAAAGGCTTAAGACAATTATTAGACTTAAATTTTCATTAGATTTAAATAAAAATATATGCTATTTAATAAGTTAATTAGCATAGAAATAATTTTAAATAAACTTTTTTGTTAGACTTAAATAAGGCTGCTAAATGGTTTTGCAAGTCGTCTAAATAAAAAGATAAAATTTAGCAAAATTATATTAAAATTTTATTAAAAAATCTGCAAAATTCTGGAAAAGATAAAAGTATATCAAAGTTAATAAAATGTAAAACTATATCAAAACCTTAGTAAAAAATTAGCGAAATCATAATTTAAACATTTTGCCAAATTCAAAATGAGTTTAAACAAGCAACCTTAGACTTAAATGAGAGAATTAGGACTATTAGACTTTTTTTATTAGACTTATAATAAGAAAATTGTGATTATTAAATTTATTTTATTATTTTTTCATTAGATTTATAATAAAAATATGTTAATTATTGATCTAACATATATAGAAAGCATTCCTAACATATTAGATATATTAGATTTATTAAGTATAGCTAAAAAGTTGATATAGAAATTAAGAATTAGAGTTCTTAGAAGTTTTTTTATATAATATAAAATTGATATTGATTTTAGGTGACCTATAAATACATAATATCAAGTAGAAATAAGCGATTTTATTTTAAAATCCTTACAATAATATTATATGTATTTATAAAATAAAAATAAACATTATTAAATAGTAAATTTCATATATCAATTATATTTATTCAAATTATTATATTATTAAATTTAGATCAAATTAAATTGGCTTTTTAATATATAAATTTAAGTTTAAATCAAATTAGACAGATTTTTTAATATTTGGCTTAAAGTTTAAGTTGGATCAAATATCAAAATTTAGATTTAAGTAGGTCTCTATTATAAGTGATTATATATAATTTTACTATATATAATTATTTTTATTTATAGTTACATAATTTTTAAACTAAAAAAAAAATAATTATATATAGATTTAATTATATAATACATTATTTATTATTTTTATTATTATTTTAAATAAATAATAAAGAAAATTAAGGTTGTTAGACAAAATCTAAAGATTTTATAATTTGTTTAAATAGTAAAAAAATAAAAATTTATTAAAATCTATTAAAAATATATAAAACTTAGAATAAGATAAACTATATCATAATTATAAAAATGGTAAAATTATATCAAAACATTAGTAAAAAAAATTAATGAAACTAAAGGCTTAAACATTTTTCTATATTAAAAATAGGTATTTTAGTGAAAAAATAAATATTTTAAATTAATTAGTAATATTTATTTAATTTTGCTAAGATTATTGATATGTATTTTCAGTCTTTATAAATATTCCAATTAAAAAATGGTTAAATTTCTATTTGAATAAAGCTATACAAATTTTCATTAGGATTAATAAATAAATAAAGAAAATAATTTATTTGATGTAATAGACTGATTAAATGGTCATCCTAAAATTTGTTTATACATATTGAATACCAATCTAATTTTAAAATGTATCACTATTAAGGTCGGAATGTTTCCGAAATATTGAAATAAATAATTTTATTACCTGCTTGCACAATAAAAATTCAAATTATTAATCAACATACTACAAAGAAGTCTTCTTCAAAACTACGCTTTCTTTTCTCACATTAACATCACTTACATTATAATTTCTCATTATAAATAAAATGAATTACGTTAAATAATGTACAATTGCCCACATACTTAATAAGGTAATGATACATCCCACTATAAAAATCCACATATCTTGAGTAGATCGTCGTTCAATATATTGAATAACATTTCGTGATAATCCAAGCGTGTTTGCCGCATCAAGAACCTTCCTTTGAGTATTCTACAAATATATATATAAATAAAAACTTTAATAAGATAATAAAATATCTTTGCAATATGTATAGGGTTTGGAAGTACAAGGTTAGTACAAAAATTAGTACAGTTAGTACAATTAATACATTAATGTCAATGTAAAATATAGTACAAGTATACAATTTTATCAACCCTGCATGTATATAAATCTATAAAAAAATATATATATATATAATATAATCTAACCTTCAAAGTATTATTTTGATCATACATATTGTTAAGCACTTCTCTTCCATGTGCTATAAATTCGTCAAGTTTTGAATCCGTCTCATTTATAAAATTATGTTCTCGTAATGCATGTTGTTCTCCCGAATAATCATGTTGTTGAAAAGGATATTCTGGCTTTTTTCAACCAAAAAATTTTCTAATTATATAGAATTGATTAAATAAAACATCATGATGTTTAAATAAATACATAATACATACTGTGGATGTATTGTGTCTTCGCCCTAATAATTCTGATCTATCATTTTGAATAACCTATTCATATTAAATTAATATATCAATTTAACAATTTTTTTTTTAAAAAATAAAATCCAAATAAATAAAGTAAGCTTGATACCTTATTAGTTTCACGTTGTTTTAGCCGTTCAAATAGCTTTTTGAATTCATTGTATTCATTTCTTAATTTACTTACATTACTGTTAATAAAATAAAGTTAAATTATAAGTAATTGTGTAACTTGTATAAACATGAAAAATGTTCATAACTTACGCAAAAGCTTTTTCTTGCTTAACAAGAATCATTTCTCTTTTAGCAAGATTATCATAATCATCAATTGTTCGTTTTAAAGCAATGAGACTTGCAGATATTTGTCCTAATTAATTAGAATTTTCATTTTAAAATTATATTGTAGATTATTCTTAAAATGAAATAAATGTTTATATATATACCTTGTAAGCCAACAGAAGCATCCTCGGCATTTTCAAATTTCTCTAAATCCTGCGTTATACTTTGGTTTTGTTTCAATGCGTGTTTATATAAATTATTCATGGTTCACGCTAATAAAAAAAAATAAAAGTGAATTACAGATTAAAGCATTGAAAGTTTTATCGAGAAGCAAGGAATATAAATAATTGAGTTTCGCGTGATTTATATATTTAAATAAATATCCAATGAAATTATGACAAATTTAAGTTGCTTGTCACTCCAATAATGCCGTAATTCCGGCCAAAAGAGTTCATTATTTATATTGATTATTTGGAGATCGGACATATGATCAGACTTCGTCTCCTAGTTTAAAACATCCAAGAATCAATACCCTTTTTCTTTAAACGAAAATGATCACCCAATGAGATTAAAATCCGCTTTTCATATTTTAATAATTTAACCCTTTATCTTTTCTTTTTCTACACCATGTTACGTTCTGTCAGCACAAAATTATTCAAAAAATCACCTGTGGTAAATATATGATATACTTATTTTACTTATAGAATAATTTACAAGTTTGCTTTTCTTTTTTTATGTAGAGAACAAGTATTACCGTTTTTCCAAATCGAACTTACGTTAGTACATATAACACACAAATAGCTGGGTTGACCGAAGAACAGAATGAGGTAACTTTTAATGAATTAATGTCCTTAATATTCTCTCATTTTGAGGTTACATATTTCACTTTGAATATTAATTAGCTTCATGAGACCGTTCACCAATTTTGTCAAAAAGAACTTAAAATAAGGGCAGCTGAAATTGATAGGCAAAATTCTTTCCCAACAGTAAGTTTTTCTTTAATCAATTTAAAATTATTTTAGAGCTTTAGAAAATTTAAACGTCCATTTATTTTAGGATATGTGGAAGAAGTTTGGTGAAATGGGATTACTTGGTGTAACCGTTCCTGAAGAATATGGAGGATTAAATAAAGGGTATCTCGAACATACAATTATAATGGAGGAGATTTCGCGAGCATCTGGTTCAGTTGCTCTTTCCTATGGAGCTCATTCAAATTTGTGTGTTAACCAAATAGTTCGAAATGGTAATGAGAAACAGAAATCAAGATATTTACCAAAGGTATGCACAAATATATAAATAATATAGGTATGCTTTTCTAACCTTTAATATCTTTACTATCTTTATTAATTTTGATTAGCTTATTTCCGGTGATTATGTTGGCGCGCTTGCCATGTCAGAACCAGGATCTGGTTCAGATGTAGTTTCTATGCGTCTTCGTGCTGAGAAGAAGGGTGATAAATATGTTTTGAATGGAAATAAGATGTGGATTACCAATGGTCCTGATGCAAATGTTTTGATTGTATACGCCAAGACAAATCATGAAGCGGGTGCTCGTGGTATTACCGCATTTTTAATCGAAAAGGTATAATTATTTTTAAATATTCAAGTAATTAATTTTAAAAATTCATGTTTTTTTTGTACTTTTATATTCGAAGGAGTTCCAAGGCTTTTCAACAGCACAGAAACTGGATAAACTTGGAATGCGTGGATCAAACACATGTGAACTTATTTTCGAAAATTGTGAAGTTCCCGGTAGTTATTTTAAAAATTATTTAACCATATTTTTGGTATATAATTTCGTTATTTAATATTTCTTCAATATTTTAAGCTGAAAATGTTTTGGGAGAAGAAAATAAAGGGGTATACGTTCTTATGAGTGGTTTGGATTTGGAAAGGCTCGTTCTCTCGGGTGGTCCATTAGGGTGATTCTTTAATATCTACTTTTTACTAACTTGAAGTTCCATTATTCAATTATTATTTACCATTTTTAATTATTTTTAAGTTTAATGCAAGCAGCACTCGATATCGTTCTTCCTTATGTACAATCTCGGTATCAATTCGGTCAACCAATTGGTCATTTCCAGTTAATTCAAGCGAAATTAGCTGATATGTATACTAAACTCAATGCTTCTAGATCATATGTTTACTCTGTAGCAAGAGCTTGCGATAATGGACATGTTTCTAATAGGGTATTTGAAATTCTAATAATCCAACTTTTTTTATAAAGTTGGAGAGATTAACTTTTATATCTCGTCTATAGGATTGTGCTGCTGTTATATTGTATTCTGCTGAGCGTGCGACTGAAGTTGCTTTAGATGCTATTCAGTGCCTTGGGGGTAATGGATACATAAATGATTATGATACTGGAAGAATTTTAAGAGATGCCAAACTTTATGAAATTGGTGCAGGGACAAGTGAAATTCGAAGACTTGTAATCGCAAGGTCGGTTGATTGATTATCTTTCCCCGTGATTTAGCTTTGGATTAATAATAATAATTTTTTTTTTTAGGGAACTATACAAGGAATTTTCGGACCACTAACCTATTAATTTTTTTTTTTATTGAATATGCTATATTACTTAAACAATCATTGTAATCATGATGGAAGTTAATCATTCGTATAGAATTTAAAAAAAGTCATTTATTCAGTATGAAATTATTTAATCAAAAATAAAATAATATTATTAATAAATAAATAGTAAATGTAGTCGTATAATTATACAAATTGAATAAATGACTAAATATAAAATTAAATTTATATCTTTATATATTATACATGATAAAAGAAAAAAAAAATTTTAAATCTAAGAGAAAAATCCGAGATCACGAACAGCATTTGCCAACCTTTTATAATCTTCCAAGAGTTCTAATATAAAATAATTACATTTGACAACTTTTTTTTTAACGGATCAATAAATATAAATAAATAGAAAAATCTGTACCTGGTACATCATTAACGCGAAATTCTTCAATTGAACAATCTAAAAATTTTTGAATAGGAGGAGATATCTTATTTACAGGTTCATTCACCATTGATCTTTTATTTTCCTCCTAATGACAAATAACAAACGCAAAGACTTTAATATTTTTTTCCTTGAAAAAAAAAAAAAAAAAAAATTTATACCTCGTCTATATGATTACGGTCACTGTTGAAACGTGGTAATACGTTAAAAGGAAGTAATCGACCCGTTCTATAGAATTCAACATTATTCAATTATTGTAAATAGTGAATTCTAAAATAAAATAAAATTTTGCTTACAAGGATTTATTTTCATCTAACTGAAAATTTTTATATTGGTTGTTATTCGAAGATGAATTTTCTTCGCTACGTATGTTATACTTTACAGCGTTTATTTCTGCAAGTTCTTTCGATGGTCCCTCTTCCGGCATACCAGAATTCATTTTATTATCATTTACATCGTTCTTTTCTGGTATAATTGGGCTTTCTTTACCTTTTCCCGCGATTGATGGAGAATTCGTTCCAATGGAAGTGTTTTCATAACCAATAAGCCTTCCAAACATTTTAACTGAACTGTCCATAACACCTGTAATAACTTTAAAGCCAGTGTCAGCAACGTCAACAATGTCTTGTCCTACTCTGCGGGTAACTCTTTGCTCCAAACCAGGATTCGTATTACTAAATTTGTATTCCAAAAAATTATAAAGGATTTATTATAAGAAAAAGGAACAAATTTGATAAACTAAATTACGTATCCAAAGCTAAAACTATGGTTATCAAATAACGAACCTTAAAGGTTTATCCGGTAACAGTCCTAAAGCCGGAAAATCTTCATTTACTAAATATAACACAGCTGCTTCCTATGAATTTAAAAAGAATTCATAAAGAGCGATAAAGGTATGCTAAGAATCCCCGATAATAATATATGTGACTTACAATATTGGTAAGACAATAAGCTGCCTCTCCACACAACAAATTATTTACACGATATCTTCTCATGAACCTATGAAAATGTTAAAAATCCAAATTATCAAATTATTGATCTATATTCAAATAACAATTATAATAATGAATATTACCTTAAGTTTGAAATCAATTTTTTTGGATTTGATTTAACCACAATAAAAATTAATAATGGTAATATGGCGTCTGCATTAGGATCACCTGTGCTGTGTTTTTCATCTGTTGGTGAAGTTGGTAAAGTCGGTGTCATAGGTAATTTTGGCGAAATCGGAGTTATAGGCACAACAGATGATTTAGATAACGTAGGCGAAGGAGGTAAAGGAATAGACGCAGGTGATATGTCGTTAGATACCGAATATGAACTTTGATTAAGTGCTGACTTATAATTTGCAAGATCAATATTAGTAGAGTCTTGAGGAGGTTGTATTTTTTTCTCAAGTGCCTCTATATATATAAATAAGTTAATTTCATTATCTAATTCAAATTATTCACAGAAATTATTTTTAATTAGACAAACCTACTACAATTCCGTGGCAATGGATGAGGCTATTAAGCTTCTCATATGGTGCCTTTTTTTGTTCTAAGCTTTGCAATTCTGCACCTGCAACTTGTATGGCCAGATCAATAAATTCCTGCTGTTGCTGAGACTTAATATCAACTCCGAGATTTGATAGTCCTAATTCTAAAAGATTTAATGCAGCAATTTTTGATCCAAGTGCCTCATCATCAGCAACATCATTTGACCATTTTGGACTGAAAATGCTATTGTGTAAATTATTCATACAGGCCAAATTATAGAAATTAAGAGTTAATAAATGTTACAATCACTGTGTAAATATGGTTTAAAATAAAAAGAATAATACGAACTTATCGTAAAGCGCCATACAAACATAATTTTCGACGATATTCATTGTTTCATCTATACGATTTTCACTGACTTCGGTAAGTTCTACGACTTGACATTCGATCTCGCAGCGCACATGATCAAACAATCCTTGGATTTGTTCAAACGAAGCATCTTCATTTTTGGGGGGATCTTTCATAAAATCTCTAATAAAACTATGGGATAAAAAGAAATATAATATTATTGCTAACCTATTAATTCTTGGATGTATTCAAATAAGATATTATAGTATAATGAAACTTATCCGTATATAATTGCTATGGAAACTTAGGCGTACTTTTCAATTTCTTTTAACAATGCTTCGGGTAAATATGATCCTTTGACCTTTTCCTCCATCTCTGTACGCGTAGCAATACGCTCTGAAATTTCTTTTGTTCTTACAGGTGATTCTATTACTATGGTTTGAATGGGCATACCATGTAAAAGAATGTCAGCATTATTATTTAGAATTTTAATTGTTGGATAGTCAAAAGAAAGATCAGCAGGCTTAGAAAAAGTATCAAATATGGATCTAATAATATTAAAGATAGAACAAATAAATTCGTGAATGGAATAGCTTAATAATCAAATAACTTTATGAAACATATATATATATATATATATATATTGTATTGTATTTAACTAACTTGCGACTCTTGGGATTGTCTATGTCAAATTCTTGTTCCGTAGGCATTAAACCAATAGCTTTGAAGACATCCCTTAAATATAAGGGATTTATTTTGTCAATCAGTACATTGAATACTTTTTTTTTTAAAAAAAAGATAGATATACCATTTAAAAAGGAAATCTGTAAAACTCACTGTTGTATAAAACCTCTTACTCCATTTAAAGTTACCACTTTGATCCCATCTTCAGTTGATTGAGAAAAAATAATATGATCTTCTAGGTAAGTTCGGTCAACATTTTCGAAAGGCATAACCGAAGACGCAGGAAGAAAAAGTGTCGCCTGATAGCAGCACAAGAAAATGTCCATCCAGAATGAAATTTTCAATATAATGTGTCAACCAAATATTTTATTTTGGGAGACACTGTAAAACTTGAAACTGAGATACCACAATAGGTGAAGGCTTTCCACCAAAAGCCAAAAGACATGCAGTCTCCAACCTTTTTTGCAATCAACATTTGCACAATATCCGAAAAGCCCACATTCATTTCACGGAGTTTTACGAGCATTAATCCACCTACTGAGCCACCTGGTACTGGATGTGAAGAAAATCTAGGCTGTAAAGAGGAAGACGAAGAAGTTGAGGACGAGGAAGGAGATCGTCTACTGCGTTGACTTGACCAGGTTGAAGAAACCATATCACTTTCTTCATCGTCATAGTTTAATAATGGATGGTGTGGAGAATCTGTACTCTGAACGGGTTTTAAACGAAGTGAGGCAATTTGAGGAGAAAGCAAGTTGTTGATATTAGTACCAGAAATAGTTTTAACCTCAGGTAGAGGTGTCGAAGAGATTATTTTTTCTTCTGGACTTTGAACCACGTTTTCCTTCTCGCCCATAACTATATAACTGACAAATAAAGAAAAGACAAACTTTAAAAAATGAATGTAAAAAATTAAATATATTGAAGCTCAAATTCCTTGGAAAAAAATTTTCATAATTACTTAAAATTTTGTTATATCTGAATTGAGTAGCTGTTCTTGGATTTTTGGATTTTCTTATTCCGATATAAATACGTTGTAACACAATGACTAGTTGTTTTTCAACTATGTCAGCTGAATTTAATTGGCCCCTGTTTTTTTAAATGACTTCCAAAAATAAAAATTTAGATCCAACATTATGTCTTCTAACAAAAAGAGATCAAAAGAAGATAGTGATGACGATCATTCTAATGAAACTTTTGTTGAGTATGGAACAGAGCTTCCTGATATAACTACCTCAGGTGAACAAGACAAAGGAAAGTTTCAGCCTGTTTGGAAACAAGAAGTACATGTTCTGTTATTTTTCTATTTTCTTTTACAGTTAAAGTCTTTCGTAAATCTAATACTGTTTTTCAAGGTTCGCGATGAACAAGGCTTGAGACGTTTCCATGGTGCTTTCAAAGGCGGGTGGTCTGCGGGTTACTTTAACACGGTCGGATCTAAAGAAGGTAGGTACAATTGCAAAGCCTTAGTCCTAATTAGACATTTACTTATTAGTACGTTTTGGTCAGGGTGGAGTCCTTCGACATTTGTTTCTTCACGAAAGAACAGATCTGACCGTAAGGATTTTAAACCAGAAGATTTTATGGACGATGAAGATCTCGAGGTACATTTACATTATATAGAGTATCTTAAAAAACAATTACATTGTTCTAATTTATTTGTTATAGGAAGTGCTCCAAAATCAAAAACTTGTTGCCACCGACGAATTTGATTCTTTTGGTTCTACAGAACGCGAATTAGAGAAGAAACGTATGTTAGCTAGTTCTATGGAAGCAAGCGGAAGGTACGCTACGTAAAAGTTTGTTATTTTTGTAATATTTCATGTCAATTATATATTTGTTTTACATAAGTGTGTTAGGTGCGTTACCAGACAAATTTATTGACGATTTGGTACTACCTAATAAGGACCCTGTAGGTACGATATATATAACTCAGAGTAGTTCGTATTTTTTGATTTATTCTTATTAGATAATTTATAATAATTGTCTTTTCATAGGCGTTCGATTGTTAAAAGCAATGGGTTGGCGAGAAGGTCAGGGCATTGGTCCTCGTATTTCAAAGATTCAAAACGACGATTCAGGTAAGGTAGATCAACATTTATTTGATGTGTTAAAATTTTATTTACAAATCTTCGTATAATTGTTTAATTATAGAATTTCTGGAGTCTGATATGAGTACCTTATTTGCTCCTAAGGACACTGAAATAATAAATTTTGACCAAAAAAGTAACACTTACGGTCTCGACTTTGATTCTTTCAAGGATGCTCCTGAATTCATTCCTCAATCTAGCAACATTAAAGGTAATGAATTGAACCTAATAGTGTAGCTAATTTGACAGGATGTATTGTTATAAAATACTACAGTCATATTAACCTCATTTAGGTGACAGTTATCTTCAACGCAAAAAAGTTCAAAATTCCTTATCCACACGAGGTAAAGAATAATTTCAAGTTATCTATCGTCATTTTGTAATATTAAATAATTTTTTTTTAATTATAAAAAAGGGACAACTAATTTTGCTGTATTTGATGATGATGATGATGACATTCTTTACGGCGAAACATCGATGTCAAATTTTCATGCATCGCTAATGGATGAGGATGAGGATACAATGGTCATGGGAGGAAAAAATTTATCTAAATATCCTAATAAAAGTCAAGGAAAAAAGGTGACATTTCGTTAAATGAAATTTATGGAATTCATATTATTGAAATCTTATAGTCCACTGAATTTTTATTTACTAGTTATCAAGTGATAAACTGTGTCATGACGGAAGTTCACCTTTACAAGGATTTGTATTGGCATCACGTCCTGTTCCACTTGATAAATGGTATTCTAATATTTGTAGTTAATTTCTTAAATGAAAAATAAAAAATTCTAATGTGATGGTATCTGATTAATTACCTTTATAGGTTTGCTCCGCCAATTTTACCACAAGGGTTTGTACCTATACATGAACTCAATTCCGAAGCAATAGAGAAGAAAGATACACCAGACTCATTTCAAAAGAGCAAACATCAGAAACAGACAACCTTAGCTATTTTGGCTGAACAGGTGAGCATAATATGTTGTAAAATAACATTTATGCCGTTATTATATACATAGTAAATACAGCTTAATTAATAAAGGTAACATTTCTTGTTTAAGCGTGGCGAGTTATTAGGAGAAACTCCGCTGAATGCCCCAGCTCGATCAGTTTTCGATTATGTTTCCCGGAAGGATAAAAATAGATTGGATAATCTAATTGAGTATATGATTGATACTACGGGCGATGTAAAGAAACAGCCTAGTGAATTAGAAATTCCGAAAGTGGATAAAGACGTTGCTATAGCAGCTTTGCAAGGGTTTATTCCATTTGAAAATGATAAGAAGAAACAGGCAAGGTACAAACAGTTTTTAGAGGTACAGGCTGAATTGAGTGCTACTCCTTTGAAACAACATGAGGTAAGTTCTATATTAACCTACATTAAGTAAAATTTTACTTTGTAATAAGTTTTTGAATATTTTCATCCCATTTTAGGGTTTTACCATTGAACAATATATCAAAGAACTTGATGAATTCGCGCAATCTGCGAGAATATTTCGTCCGATGTCAAAAATGATGGCTTCCCGTTTTACCAATGCAAAATCCGTAGATGATGCTCAACTTCCAGAAAAAGATACTCGGTTTGCTTCAGAGTCTTCTTTCAAAATACATCAGGATGATGCTAATATTCAAGGTCCTTTAGAGTCAGCCGGATCATCAGCCGAAGCTGCAGCTAGGATGAATATGTTTGGGCCTCTTACAAGGGCCAGAACAAATTTCTATCCTGCTCGTCTTTTATGTAAGCGGTTTAATGTTGCAAATCCACATCCCGATTATCAATATGATAATCAATCTGGAAAAACTCAAAAAGGACAGAAAGATGTTCTCAGCAAAGAAACCATGAATGACATTATTGGGAAACAAGATTCGCAAAACTTTATGGAATTTACAAGTTCTAATTATAAAAGTCAAGTAAATATTGATGATGATAAAGCCGGTACGTTGAGATCAACCGATGATGTCAAGGAAGAAGTTCAGAAAACTAGACCCGCTATGGAGCTTTTTAAATCTATATTTGGCGAATCGGATTCTGGAGATGAAGATGAAGCTCCAAAACATAAGGTATTAATTTGAATTTTATAGATGTATATTCGTGATCATTACCTTTTTTTTAATAAATTTTATATTAGGGTCCGCCAAATATGATTGTCGGAGCTATGAAAGAGACAAACTTGATTGAGGATGAAAAGTTATCTCCTGCTCCGTCAGAAACTATAGAAGCGGCAGCTACCGTACCATTTCGACCAATGTTCAAAAAGAAAACAGATCGTTCAAAAAAAGTATTATCCAACGAATCAACAGAAGGATCGCAATCACAGTCGATAGCTCCTAAGGGAAGGAAAAAAGGACCCGTAACTCGAGTAACGTTATCATTCGATGATGATTCAACGATTGGTCCATCCGTAAAACGGAAACAAACTGAAACTAAGTCAAGTGAGAATGATAGTTCTTCGTCAGTGGAGTCTGGCGAAAAAAATGATTCGTTATCACGTCGTGAACATAATAAGCATTCTCATAGTCGTCATAAACATTCATCATCTAAGAAACGTAAAAAGAAAAAGAAACACTCAAAAGGTTACGATAGTTCAAAGAAAAAAGATAAAAAGCGGTCATTCGAAGATAGTGAGGACGAAAGAATTAAAAGCGATAAAAAGAAGAAACGTTATGGAGAGGAAGGTGGTCATGATAAAAGTGGAAAATACCATCCCAATAAAAATTATCATCATGAAGTAACAAAACCAGTGGTGGATAAAGCGAAGGAAGATACAGATGACAAAAAATTTGAAGCGCATTCAGAAAGATTAATAGAAAGTATAATAGATAAACGGGAAGAACCAACCTATTTAACAAAATCAAAAGAAAAACAAATTACTTCGCCGCGACCAAGAAATGACAATAAAATGACAAATACTAGTAGTCGGCCAAGAGCAATGGATTTATGGTGATATTATTATTATTATTAAAATAAATACAGTAATAAATGTTTGGAAACAAAAAGTGAATAAATTTTTTTTTTTTTTAAATCTAATTTTCACATTTAAGGTGATATAATTTATTAATATATAAATATCATTTATCATCAAGATCATTAGTTTGAAAAGGTACATTTAATGGATCGATAACAGTTCCCATTTTTGTGATTATCCGTGGTGTTATCATTTTATGAAAAACTTCTTGAGTATTCCATTCTGTACCAAGTGGTGTACGGAGACTTCGTTCATATTGTTCACGAGTTTCAAAGGGATGTGGGATATTTGTAGCAAGATATTTCTTGGCCTATATTAAAAAAGATTGAGTAATTAATAAAATTTAAAATCGGGAATGAGATTTTAAGACTTGGCTTTACCTTCTTAACTCTTTTCTCATTAATAATAACGTGATCTAATTTCGCATCTTTCCTTTTGGAAGCTTCAATACCGCCAGGTAGAGGTTTAGCTAAAATAAGTTTCTTCTTTTTGGGCTTTTTTACCCCTTTACCACCCCATGAACCCTAAAATATTTTAAAACCACGATAGTGAATAAATAAATAATCATGGCTGTAATTGAAATCAAAAAGAGTAATAATCTAAAAACTTACCCATCCTGGTAATGTTAAATCTTGTTCTTTCGGTTCATCCTCTTCAATAATAGCTTGCTTTTCCTTTTCAAATTCCTAAGCAAATATTAGAAGTAATCAGATTGAATTAGAATGTAAATAAATTTGGTAAACAACTTTTTGTCCTTCATATAGGAAGTTAACTAAAACAAAAAATAGTTCTTTGTATTGCAG